TCAAATACATTCCAATCAATACTTAACAAAGATCGAGTTCTTAATGGCCGATACTTTGCCCTTGAGAAGTGTAATTAATTAGTCCCGATGCATGACTAAGAACGACCACTTGAGTATGGTTCGATCATAGAGGATCAAGAATGAGTATGGTTCTTAAAAACATTGTTCAAGTGTGCTCTATTTGACTCTACCTTGAGCATATCTTAGTCCATGGATTTTGGGATCCAACGAAGATTCTCGAAGATGCAGTCTCAAGCTACCCAAAGATGACTTAACCCATCTCAATCTCAACTGCAGTTTCAAACTATCCAGAGATGGTTTAACCCATCTCAGTCTCAATGATAGTCTCAAGTTGCTCAGAGATGGCTTAACCCATCTTAGTTTCAACTACTGTCTCAAGTTGCCCAGAGATGACTTAACTCATCTTAGTCTCAACAACAGTCTCAAGCTGCCCAGAAATGGCTTAATCCATCTTAGCCTCAATGGTAATTTCAAGCATCCTAGAGGTGGCTTAACCCATCTCAGCTCAACAACAGTCTCAAGTTTCCCAGAGATGGCTTAACCAATCTCAGTCTCAATGGCAGTCTCAAGCTGCCTAGAGATGGCTTAACCCATCTCATTCAACAAAAGTCTCGAACCAACCAACGATGGTTTAACCTATAGTCAGCATCATCGTCCGTTCAAAGCTTTACAAATCGTACAACAAATTAGTTATCACAAAAGGGGAATTGTTTATTCGAAACAAGGAATTCTCTCATAAAATCAGGGTCATTGAACTCTTGGCTCCTTGCTTTATCACCCTTAAAAGGTGTAGCATGGATTGAGTTGAATAACATAAGTGGTTGCAGTCCACTAACGATATTGACGAATCCTTGATTCTTCTCCCTCGAGATCGTGAGCTTTGAAAGTTTGAAATTCAAAAGACAAGCGCCAATGATTGTTTCTACGAGAACAACCCAGCAGTGAGATCAATAGTGTGAAAAGATAAACACAAGAGGTAAACAACATTATGAAGATAAAGATTACACCCTGCAAGTTATGTGATTCAAATGAGTAGATAAACTCATGATGAAGTAGGATGGCGAAGATTCAAAGATGGGAAATGTGTGGTTATTCCTTGAAAAACCATAATTTATTAGTATAAAAAAGGGACTTCTCGATTAAAAAGGGATCACACTTTTCTGATAACACAGTCTAGTAGAGATAAAGTTTTCTTCATAGGTTTTTCCTCGGTAAGAACTAACAGTAGAAAAGAGAGTGATACTCAAGACACGAATAGAGAGATAATCGTTTACTACGATTCATTTGAGACCCATTCTCTTAAGAAGACCATAATCGAAGGATAACACATCCCTGCATATATTTACAGGCATATGGGCCGATATGCCCTCGATGTTATCTTTTCCTTTTAACATGTCCGTATTTTCTTTGAATGTATAGGTTTCAAAGCCTGAATAAAAGGCTTTCGGCTTATTTTCTTTTCTTAAGTAGATGTAAATTGTAACAGAGGATTAAACCTCTGGAGTTGCTTAGTGCCTAGTATAAATATAAACTTGTGTTTCTGATATAAAGTGCATGGGTGAATGTGGCCATGAATGTGATGTCCTCTGGTTGTTTATTTGGAGTCTAATGTTTGTCTAAACATTCTATTTCTCAACACATTTACATTTCGGAGCGACCATGTGTGTAGAGCCTAGGAACATCAAAGAGACCTCTCTGTTTTCCTGTATCTCGATGACGGATTGCCCTTCTTATGCACATAAAAAAGAGTATCGAAGGGGCACAAATATCATCTTGAGATAGCGCTCTTGCATGCCCGAAAACACTAAGGAATCAATCTTTGATTTTCAAAAAGTATACTACTTTTTCTTCCTATTTCACCCACCAATTTTTCAACACTCTCTCCTAATCAAATCTATTCATGTTAACTTACTCTTTTGATTATATCTTTCTTTCTTTCTGTTGTTTTTTCTTTTTCTATTTTCTATTGATTAATGATAACTCTCTAGTTTGTATGTATTTTTCTTGATGATACTCTATTTTGTTAAAACATGATAACCATATTGCTCAATGTTATTTCTTATATTTGAAAGATTATATAACCCCATCCATAACTTCACCATCTCAAATGGATGAGTTTGATGGGAAAGCATTCCCTCAGCTAAATGGATGAGTTTGATGGGATAGCATCCCCTCAGCTAAATGGATGATTTCTATGATATGGAATCTCCAATTGAGAAAAAAGGTGATTATGGGTATTTATGCCAAAATGAGGAGGTCCAAAATACGACATCAAATTGTTTGCTACAAGATGAATCAAATGATGCTAGTTTGGGTGTTGATGGCAATAACATAGGAAATCCTATCATCTCAATCACAAAAGGACGTCTAACGGTGAAAGGTTCAAAAGGGCTGCTGAAATAGCAAGAAACCAAGGAATTGTAAGATGCAAAGGTGCGGTGAAACTGGTCATGATGCAAGAAATTGCCCACTCAATTTTGTGAATAAGAGCTTTTATTTTTATGAATTGGTACAATGATGATGTTGGGGTTCTAAATAGTTTTCTAGGTTGTTCGTTGTATATGGAAACCCAATCTACCCATAATTTTTGTGGGCATGCTTCAAAAAACACACCACTTTTATTTAGGGGGTGAGTAATATTTTTTTTCTTATTAGTAAAGTGTAAACTTTTATCTTGATTTTCATTTGCCTCTTATTAGGAATTCACTATAACTTGGCATGACTGGTTTCAGGTACCATTAATGAGGATTGATGAATTTTTGATGATATAATTTGCTTTTGCCTCTTATTAGGAATTCACTATAACTTGGCATGACTGGTTTCAGGTACCATTAATGAGGATTGATGAATTTTTGATGATATCATTTTGCTTGTGAAAGTTAGAAAATAGAATATTCTGAAAGATGCGAGTTCCAAAGCATCTTATCAATTGTTGTTCATTGATTGTTGTATAGCATTTTTTGTTAGCTTTTGTTGCCCTCCATCATCTTGGTGGTTTGTATTAGCCTATTTTTGCAACTGGTGCACCTCTTTATACTTGCACTTAATACAAACGTTTATCTTTCTAAAAAGAAAGTTTTACTTATGAGATGCATTTGTTAGTTTTGAAGAGTTAAAGAAATTTCTGATCTAGATGTTGGATATAGTTCCTCTCTCTCTCTCTCTCTCTCTCATGTGGTGTGATGTATAGATATTCTAAATACTACTTTTTTTTCTTTGTTTTTGAATTGAAAGATGTTCTCCTAATTGAAAAATTTGCCCACAGCATTTATATCAGTTGTGCTGTCAATTATGATGATATGGAAAGCTACTTTCTCTCTCACACACACATATGCTGTGCGAGTAATGTGAAACATAAATGAAGCAAGCACTAATGCTTTTGTTTTCTTACACTACTCTAAGTAGCATAATAGACTTTTTTTTTGCTCTCCATATGCATCATTGTTACACACCACTAGTGTGAAAAGAGCTCCCTTGTGCTTATAATGCACAGAAGATCAAAGGTTTCATAGCATGACACAATCACTCAAGAAATTCCAAAATATTTTAATTGTGAGGTGTTGGTGTTTGACATACGGTAAAAGATCTCAATCTTTGTCAGAATGATCAGTAACTCTTTATTCAAACGAAACATGACAAGATGCATCCTACAAAGGAAAATAAGAAAAACCAACTAAAATGAGGAATTTGAGAAGAAAAGGTTTATAATGCACCCAAATGCAAGGGAAATGGAGGGCAAAGATTGAAACATATAACAAACAGCCCATGTTTAGATTACACAAAATTCACAGCGACAACCATCATTTGAGTCCTAAAGCTATAGAGGAAAGAGCTCATGGAAGCAAATGTAATTGTGCTTGGTAGTACTATCCATTGTAGCTGCCTCCTTTTAGAGGGCCAAGCATGTCCACTCAAAGTGATAAGATATGTAAATAAACTGAACTTATTTTCAAGAGTGGCAGAATTGAATTAGTATAATTGTGAGATTTGGAACAATGCCTCCTTGTTGAGGCTGAGTCGATGGACCATCATTAACTTGCACAATTTTATAGAGTTCCATCACCTAAAACAATAGAAAACAGAGATTGTGACTCTCTAATCTTTCATCCCCATCGGTCTTTGCTGGTATGGGCTGCATTTGTAAGAACGTAGTACCACCATCACGCTTTGAAACTAGTTCCCGAAAATCGTAAGCATCCTCAACATCAAGAACTTGAAACCGATTTGAGTAACCAAGTAAATGGACATTCTTGAATATGGATGGACAAATTTCTATCTTGTCAAATCCAGCCCGTTACGCCCGTTCAAGTATATAAAAGTAAGAAAGTGGTAAAAAGAAACTATTGACGGGCGGCACACTAGGTGCCAAACTGTTTACACATCAAATCTGGACAAAACAGACTACTCGAAGTCAATTCCATCCGGATTTGTGCGCAAACTCGTTAATTTAGATGTTCTGTAGAGATGGGTGTCATCAAATTCCAATATGTGAGAAAGTGATCTTAGGAGAGACTTCTTTCTCGCGGGCCATTGGCCAGTGGCAACTTGAATTTGTGTAAAACAAAAAGGAAATTTTAGGAAATAGAGGGAAAACATGAGAGAGAAACTAAACAACAAGAAATAAATAAGAATAAATATAAACAAATAAAGTATTTGTAAGCCTAGCCCTCAGGCCTGGCACCCAGAGTTGGCGATAGGATCAGATGGGAAGGGTAAGTCTTTACAGCATTGTGTTCTTCGAGATTGCTAAACAGGAAGTTGATGTCGAACTCTACGAAGAGATTTGCCTAGGAATGTTCTTCTTGCGCTTAGGTTTGAGGGGATGTTCTTCTCCGGGGTTTAATTGATTTTGGTTTATGGGTTGCAGAGAATGTTGGGTTTCGATGGACCTAGGATTTGGCCTGAGTTTATTGGACAGAACTAGGACAAGTTTTCAATTTACCCCCTCTTCTCTACTTGATGAATACTAACCATCCAAAGAAAACAAAAGCAAACATCAACTGTTCAAATTGAACCCTCAGAAATAAGGAAGTTTACAACAACATAAATAAGTAAGAATTGAAATCAAATCTTCCCATACAAATAAACTTTTACTGGGAATGGATGATGATTGGAGCTCCATGTTGAGGACCCATTGTGATCCTAAGCGCAGGAGCATGCTGATAAGATGGAGAGAGTGTGAAAGTATAGCATCTGAGAATCATAGAGAGAGCCACTTTGGCCTCTAGTGTGGCAAAGTTCAAGCCTACACATATGCGAGGGCCATAGCCAAATGGTATAAAGGACACTTGGGTTGATGCAGCAGTGGTCACCCCTTGCGCAAACCGCTCCGGTTTGAAAAGGTTCACATCGTCCCCCCATTGTGATGGATCATGGTATGCTGCTAATGGTGGCACCACTAGCTCCATTCCTGAGGGGATGGTAAATTTCCCCACTCTTACCTTCCTTATAGATGCCTTGGTTAGGAATAGAACTGGTGGGTACAGTCTCAGAGACTCATTGATTAGCATATTCATCTATATGCATTAAAAAAAAAAAAATTATTAAAAATGGTGCCTGCAGTATAAAGTTTAAGTTTCCATGTAAAATAATAAGACATTTATTTGAAAGTTTTTTGGGATTTTAAATTATATTGCCGATTGAAAGAAAAAGTTTATTTGCTTGATGATTAGGTTAAGAAGGAAAAAAAGATTCAAAATTTGATGGGAAATTAACATAAAAATCTATTTTTATTTTTAAAATTTCTAAACAGATTGTATATTATGGAGCCATTTACTATTGGTATAAAGAGGTCACAATTACTTATAACTATCTCATGCGAAATCTGATAGCTTAGGTGTGTCATAAAATTCAAAAAAAATTTCTTAAACTTTGAGCTTGGTCAATGCAATAAATATAGCCATCTAATTTCACACACAATTGTCAAGTTGTGACCACTTGTACCAAATATAAATAGTCTCATTGTATACTTTTCTATTTTTAAAATACTCACTTATATTTCATATTTTATTTTTAAGTCCCATTTTTATAGTGAATAGTATATTATAATTTTTATTTCCTTTTTTATACATGGGATTAAGTTCAAATTTGGATAGTAGATACTTCTCACTGTCTCACTTTTGAAAATTTACCAAAATATATTTTAAAATTAAATAATATAAAATATAAAATATATGAGAATATTCTTAAATTTTGAAAATCAAAACAGATTTTTCCATTAATTTTCAAGGGAAAATATTTTTTAAAATGGGGAATTGGTCATTTTGAAGCCGTAGCTTTATATGATTTTGAAAAATAAATAAAAATTCAAATAAAGTCACATAGAAACATATCTTATAGGAATGGGCTCAAGGGTGGGGTGCCACAATGTTACGTTTTGAGTACCACTCCTACTACAGGTGGATGACCCCTTCTCCACTAAATTAAAAAAAAAAAAAAAAAAAAAAAAGAAAAAAAAAAGAAGAAGAATCCATCTTACTATTTTAAGTTGGGCGAGGCCATCAATGGAAGGTGTGTTTGAGCCAAGAACTTGTATAACTTCTTTCCTTGCCCTCTCTTGCCACTCCGGGTGCATGGCCAAGAGAACAACGGTCCACGTGAGTAGTGCACTGGTGGTCTCGTGACCAGCAAGATAGAAGGTCTTGCATTCATCCACTATGTCCTGCAATGATATATTGGAATTCACTTGTGATTGTAGCAACATTCCAAAATAGTCATCACCGTAACCATTTGCATCTCCATTCCTCACTTTTTTCTCTCTTGCTTCAATCATTTTCATAATTGACTTCGTGATTTGTTGGTCTAGTATTTTGGCTTCTGCTTCATCCTTGGATTGAAAAAGTCTCCATTTAAAATGAAAAATTCCAACGTTTTGTTAGTATACTCAAAACTACTCTGTGACATGCCACACATTTAAACACATTGTGAGAAAAATTCTTTTTGGACCAGTTTAATGTAGAAGCTTAGTTGAGTAGATTCTTCTCAATCTTTATGCCTTTAATATGAATAAGAAAGGAAACTAAAGTGGGAGCCAAGAGATGACAATTGAGAAGCCATACAAAATAAATGTTAATCAGGTAAAATTATTTATTTAGAAGCCATACAAATCTTTCCTTTATATTAATGTAAAGAATTTATTTATTTAAAAATGAGAGTACATTATAGGATTATTTGTTTTAAGTAGAAAAAGATCAAAATCACCTTTAATTACATCAGGTTGCTGGGGATGAGCCAATCACCATGGTTAAAATTTAACAAAGTTTTCTCGAATTTTATGGCATATCCTTAGCCGTCAGATTTCACATATGAAGGATAGGGATAATTGTAAATTTGTTGTACCATGGTTAAATACTATTACATTATACAGTCCTTTTAAGAATAGAGATGCAAAGGAACAAGACAAATCAAAGTGAATTAACTAAGAAAAAAATATGGTGGCACCAAATTTATGAAGTACATGTGCCAAATTGCAGAGACTTTTATGGCTATCAGTATTCTTAGAAACATTGCAGAAAAACACATACTCAATTATAATGTGATTTTTTCTATCTGTGTCATTGAAAATGGACCAGACCCATGTAACTAGAAAAAGTGTGCATTCTATTCTATTAGTAGTATGTTCATTTATTTAACTATAGGCATTACCTAGATTGAAAAAAACCGTCAAAGATCTCTAACAAAGTTTCAAAAATATTTGTTCGACATTTAGTTTGTTTGTGTAAAGGTTTGTTAATTGTATGAATTAAGGTTTAAAAAAACGCCGAGTCAAGCCGGACTCGCCTGGTTCGACTCGGGAATCGCCACAGAACGAGCTGGTTCCACATACAAAACGGGAACTACCCGTGTCTAGAGAGAACCGGGCGGTTTTAAACGATTTTAAACAGTAAACCTTTTAAACAGTAAACCGCCCGATGACATCATCAACCGGCGGTTCTGACGTTACCACTCTGATTATATCATCAACCGGCGGTTTTGATGTCACCACTCCGATTCTACACAGACACGTGCAGACGTCACCACTCTGATTATATCATCAACCGGCGGTTCTGACATCACCACTCCGATTCTACACAGACACGTGCAGACGTCACCACTCCGACACGGACAGATTCTACACAGACACGTGCAGACGTTACCACTTCGTCACGGACACGCAGACACGTGCGACAAAATCACGTGCCACATATCACGGGTGAGGTTGGGCCAATGTTTCCGTGCGTATGCCTTATTTCATATTACATAGGTATTTATCTAGCAAAGTTGAATACCCATCCTTCGATGTGGGATAATTCCCAAATATCATTAAATGAAAACGAAATATAAATATATTCTATTAATCAGCAACTTATAATCACATGCGGCGAGGTGGCGTGATGGTTATGACCTCTGCTATTTCTTTTGACCTCCCAATGTCGAATCCCCTTGGGCATTTCATTTTTTGTTGCATAATTGTTTTTGTTGTATATAGTGGTATAAATATTTTTATACATAATATAAAAGGCATAAAAAAATGAAAAATAAAAAATTTAAATTTGGTGTAGCAGTTAATTTTTGTTGTATATCGTGCTATAATTATTTTTGTAAATAATATGAAAGGCATAAAAAAATAAAAAATAAAGTCATGTAATATACGCATTTTATTAATTTTTACATTGATAACCAAATCTTTTATTTTATTTATTAATTTTTACATTATAAATCATGTAATGTACTATTTTTCTTACAGCTGCCAATAATATATTTTAAATTAGATAATATTATAAAATATTTTTAATTTATTATTATTTATCTAATAAAATAATTATAAAATATAAATTAATAATTATAATTTCAGTATATAATATTATAATTAGTTAGGTTGTAATAATTTTGGATTATAGTTAATTAGGCTATAATAATTTACGTTTTTTTTAGCGGATTAGGGTTTTTCGCCAAAACGAAATTTTAATGGCCATTATTTCATTGATTTAATCTACTCTTTATAATAGTCTATATATAATTATATGTATAATTATATATTTTAACTATGATAATTCTATGATTTTTCTTTTATACGATGAAAATTTAATGGTTAACATAAGTTTATATCGGGAAAGAGCATCTCAATATTCACAAATTGATGAAAAAAATGTACGTTAATAATGTAATACCCTCATTTCTTATTGGATTCTTAAAAGATAATATTTATAAAGAATTTTAATACTTTTTTTAGAATTTTTTTGAAGCTTAATCTGACCGATTCAGTCGATTCCCGATACAGATTGCCGATTCGTCGATCCGGATGGGTTTTTGAGATGTCCGATCCGGATCACCGACCCTTTTTTTAAACCACTGGTTTGAATAGGTTTAGATGTTGTGGGCAGTCTAACCATTGACAGGAGTAAGCCCGGCCCGATCTGGGGTTCTAATATGACTAGTGCCTATTGCAAACTTTATCTGAGTCACTTTGATTTGGTTGAAGTCTTTGATTCAGCTCCAAAACAAAGTGAAACCAATTCAACAATTTTAGGGAAATTTACGTATGAATTGGGTTTTTTTTTTTTTGCTGTTATAATGGTATCGCCCTGTCGTTATTATCTGGAAGGACCACGGTTTTTTTTTACTTTTTGACAAATTTTCCCCCAATCCGCTTTATTTACCCCTCGAAAACATGGACTCTTCTTTCTGTCTCTTTAGTGCGTCCAGGGATCCTGCTGGCGATGAGGGACCATCGGTTTCCAAGGAGGTGATGAAGTCGAAGGATGAGGTCTTTCTTGTCGGGGCCAATACGGCCGGCAGCTCTTTCTGCATCGCAGGAGGCCAACGAGCTTCGAAAGAGTTCGCCATCAGCACTCCCCCTCACGCGCAATGTATGCAGCCAGCATTTCATCCTGCTCTGGGGTCCATGGCCCTTGCTTCAAACCCACCTTACTGCAGCACGATGTTGGTACCCCACTCCCTCTGTTGCTACTGCTTCTACCACTCGTCGCTCTACTGCTGCTGCTACAGGAACAGATGACTTACGACTCCTCATTGTTGGTTCCCTGCTTTAATTTCTGGTTCTGATCCTCATTGTTGGTTGTATGCGTCTTTTTTTTCTTTTACAATTTTAGGTATCTAATATTTGATAGGGGCCCTTGACGTGTGTTTGCTTTTCAACTCGGGAGAGAGAGAGAGAGAGGAGAGGGAGAGGTACTTCTGTAATGGGGGGAGATACAAAAGCTAGAGAGATAAGAGTTAATTTGCTTCAAAAAAGAGAGAAAGAGTTAACTCATTTTTTAGGGTGGCAAAAAAATAAAAAAATGTCTTGGATGCATCATTCCAGTAATAACAGTCAATTTTTGGGCAAACCGTTATAATGGTAAAAAAAACCCGAGTTCGTACGTAAATTTCCCACAATTTTAATACGTTTCTAAAGTTTTCGAACCATGATTAATTAAACATATGATGTATATACTTGATATGTTCAAAACTTGTAAAATATACTTCATGTATTAAAAGAAAAGATAGGAACACCTACCTATTTAGACTTTTTTTATGTTTAAAAATATTTAAAACCTCTCAAAGACCTTAATCAATCCAAGAGCTAAAACACTTTCTTGTCGTGGCCAAGACAAATAGCTCTCCGAAGTCCAAAGGGAATTTGATAGCATTTGTTGTTATGTAACTCATCATTTATTTGAATTTGCTCTCTCTCTCTCACACACTAGTAAGCAGCCCTGCGTTGCACAAAATCTTAGAAATTTCATCTAATAGAATTATTAATAATAAAAAAATTTAATAAACCAAATAGAAACTAAGAAAATCAAATTTTGTTGAAATAGAATGACAGATATTTAAGAAAGAGCGCTAAGTATTGTTAAAAATTAATGCTACACTAGATATAGCAATTCTGCACATGTATGTACATTAATATATATAAATTTAAAGATGTACTTTACATACCAATTTACCATATGTTATTAGAATTATTTGTAATTATATTTGATGATATTATTAATATTTTTGAAGTAATTTGACAATATGTCTTTTGTATGACATTTTATAATAGCACATAAGAATTTGATAGCAAAATGACTAATGCATCGTATTATTATAAGGAAAATGTTTATACAAGGATGCAACGTTAAAATGTAAGATTAATGATCCACATCAAAAATCTATTGAAAGAGGTTGTTTTAATATTGAAAAGCTCTCTAATTGATTATCTTGACATCAAGATGTACGAATATGGTAAAAAAAAAGATTGAGTCCTAGAAAGAATGCATCTTGCAATATGTTATCTAGGCAGTTCATTTTCAAGATTTTCATATGTTTATAGATCTACTTGATTTTAACCATTTTTAAGTTTTACAAATTTATAATTAGATATAAAAATATATTTTCAAATAATACTAACGATTTTTTATACCAAAATATACAATTTGAAGGTGTGCTTTAGTTGGATTGTCTAATATTGCAACAACCTTATAGAAACCACACTATAATTATAACTATAATTAATTCAACTAGAAAATTATTAATTTTCTTGAAACTAAACAGTTAATTATATTTGAGATTGAGGTCCTAAAAATAATGTGTAGGAAAGAATAGAGACAGACGTGGTACTCTTAAATTTAATCGAGAGGTCTATGGAATGACGAGAGAGAGAGAGCGTAACAGGAAGGGACCACGACAGAGAAGAAAGGAGGGGGTTATGGAGAGAGATGGGGAGTTAGAAAGTAGAAGATGCGAGAGACAATTGTGTGTGGAAAGTTCTAACATCTAGACGAAAATGAATAATGATTTCGTCCTCGCAGAGCTCTAAAAAAAGCCATTAGAGCGGTTGAAATTGACCACCATTGCCATAGGTCCCCATTGTTTGACATTTGATTGGTATGATGTTAAAAAGCTGTGGGATACAAAAGTGACTACATTGTAAAAGTGTCCTAAACTTTAAAAGGAAAACATCTCTATTCTTTTTATTTTGAATTTCATTTCTCAATAGATCCAAGTTTTGAAAATAATATTCAGGCCTCTTAAAATCCACCTTCATAGCCCTCTGAATTCAAATACCTGCAAAAGTTTTACAAAAAATAAAAAAAAAGGATAAAAAACTTCGGGAGAGAGAGCACTATGAAGAGAGATAAACAGGGCGCTAACCATGCCATTTGACAATACATTCTCCCCCATCTCCAGCAAAATCACCGTGGTTGTATATGACATGGTTGGGTGTGGAAATGTGGAGCAAAAACTCTATGATGAAGAGAGATACTCCACTCTTGAAGCTTTTTCTTATGATCTTCTATGTCTCTCTTCAAAGAGCTTGGCGTTTAAAGATGTATCTTTTAGGGCTATTCCATGTCTGGTATGGTATGTTGCTTTGTTGCTATTAAAAGACCAGAGTTTTTTTAGAGTCTGATACTCGTTAGTGCTTCTCCAAGGTCTGCCCCGGGCCCAAAAACCCATCTGTTAGAATTCAGAGTCCTCACTTGTTTTCTCTCTCTAAAGCTTCTTTTTCTTTCTAATGCATGAGTTCTCTCTCTCTTTGCTAGTGAAATGTCGCCATTCTCGAATCGTATCCTCTATCAAAACCCGCTTCTTAGATTCCATTGTTTTTCTCACTCTGGCTTTGTTTCTCTCTCTAAGTCAGGTTCTCACTATTTGACACCTCTGTTTCCTTTGCAATCATAATCCCAAAATTGCGTTGTTTTGTCTCTCTACCTCTCTCACTCCCCCTCTCTGAAACCCATTTCTCCCTGATTTATCTCTCACTATCCCCCAAGTTTAAGGTCTCTTTTTTTTTCTTTTAAAAGAAAACAAAGAAAAAATTTATGAAACTTTTGCAGATACTTGAATTTGGAGGGCTATGAAGGTGATTTGAGAGGCCTGAATTGGGGTCTTGATTTGGAGAGAGAGAGAGTGTTGGGGGAAGTTAAAAGATATATTATTTAGGATATGTATGACACAATATATATTTTGAAATCTTGATTTTATTGTAAAATAAAACCTAAAAACAATGGGTACGAAAATATTTACTCAAATTTAAATTATAAATTTTTGTGATCTACTTTTGAGATGGATTTCGAACCTAATTTTTGGAAAATATACTCTCTCTAATATATAAATCATTAACATATCAAAAATTAAATTTTAAAACTAAAATTAATATAAAAAAATTTAAACCTTTTATTTTTAATTTTTTTTGGATCGGACGAATACTTTACGTCCATCATTAAGATTAACATGACGGATGTTTGATGCGTCGGAAAGCAAATGCAGACCGCGTCCCCAACGCATAAAAGACTTTTCCTATTAAAGGCAATAGATTTGGGGAGACCACACTGTACAAAAGTTGTGGCACCCCATAAAGATAATTATATGGACTCTTTTAGTTTGAAATTTTTTGTAGAATACTTATTCACTCCTAAGATCACTTAAAAAGAAGTTGACGATTTGTTGCTCAAAATCTTCCAAATCAACTATCTTTTAAAGATTGATTTTTGAAACATTATCATTGAAGGATAGTCATAAACATGGTTTTAAGGGCCAAAAATCAATTTTTGTTAGGTAAAGTTATCAAAAAATGACAAGGTGAATCAGGAACGATTTAAAAATTTGTGAGATATGAGAAATTAGTGTAACCACATGTTTTTGCTGCGAGACCACGGTGCTGTGCTAGGTTGGTCTCACGAGAACTTGTTCCCCGGCAACCCAAAATACATGTCTATGTGATTTGGATGCAAGACCATGTTCTAGGATGGTCGCGTGAGACCACTCGAACTGCAACCCTACATTAAAATGGAGAGAGGGTCTTACCCACTACCGGGAAAGTCAATTTTCTGGACATTCGAAGCAACTATCTTTCCCAACTTTGCTAACAAATCGAACATATTTTTTCCTTGTAAATAACTGCTTCCGAAGGCTGTCCTTGAAATAACGTCCAACGTCAAAACCCGAAATTCACCTGAAATTTCAGTATCTCGCCCTTCGTAATCTCTCCATCTGCTTATCATTTCTTCAACACTTATTACCATTTTTGAAAGCACACCCTGCGAGATACATAAATTCTCTATTTCAAAACTCAATTCTAATTATTTGAGATTCGCTACATGAATCATATTTTTGTATTATTCTCTGTCAAAAGCAATACCTTTAAAAAGACAAAAGCATAATATTAGTTTAGTATTCATAATAAGATGTAAACTTTTAAGCTTGCTGTCTCTCTAACAACCTACCTCTTTTACCCAAGTGTAGGATAGGTTAAAGAAAAGTTTAAGATCCTATCCTTTCTCTCAACCCCAGCTTCAATAAATGCAATGCACTAAAATATTGATTAGACTTTTGTTTGTTTCTAGTGAATGGTGAAGTGCAAGAAACTTTGCATGGGTATATAACGAAGGGCTTATATTAAACAAAATTGGTTTTGTATAACTATATTATCCCGTGAAAAATCATGTTTGGTATTTTTGTAGTAAAATAACTGTATCTTGTGTGCCCACAAACTCACGCAAAAATACGAGTCGGCAAAGTCACGAAAAAAAGGTGTTTGTTTATGCACCCGTCTCTTTCGCTCATGGCCATGATAAATTGGACAAACAATTGGGAAGAGTTTGTCTAATTATAGCAAATGCCTTTATGTGAGAGACACGTGTACTCTAGTTGAAAAACAACTCATAGTTTTATTTAGAGAGAGAAACAACTCATTTTGACTTTTGACTAGGGTCTCATGACTTTGCTAGAGAAAAAAATTTGCACAAACAATTAGGGAAGAGCCTTTAGTTTTTTTTTGAGAACTGGGTAGAGATATGGTAAATTTATTTTTGAGATAAATATTAGAGAATTTTTAGTGAGAGTAGCTATATCAAAATTTCAAGTTTTAGCGAGAGAAAATATCTTAAAATTTTAAAGAGAGATGAACTATTTAAATATAAAGTTTTAGTGAGAGAGAATGTAACTTAAAATTTTAAAGATAAAAAATATCTAAATTTTTAGAGAGAGAAACCATCTCAAATTTTTTAAAAGAAATTAACTCAAATTTAAACTTTAGAGAGATAGAGTACCTTAAAATTTTAAAGAGAGAAATAATATCAAATTTTAGATAGAGAAACTGCCTAATTTTTTTTAAAGAAAAATTGTCTTAAAATTTTTTCAGAGAAAACTACATCAAATTTTAAGTTTTAGAGAGATGAACTACATCAAAATTTAGAGAGAGAACAACCTGAAACTTTTTATAGAGTGAACTAAATCGAATTTTATTGAGAGCAATTACCTAAAAATTTTTTATATCAAATTTAAAATTTTAGATAGTTTTTCTATCTAAAAATGTTGAGATAGTTTCTCTATTTAAATTTTAAGAAGTTTCTCTTTTTAAAATTTGGTATAGTTTATCTCTCTAAAATTTTGGTAAAATTTTTTACAATGGAAAAATATTTTATATGTACTTGTTGCATATCAAATATGTGTAATATAATTTTCACATGAATTATATTATAAACCCAGGTGTCCTAAATAGTATAAACCCAGGTTATGCATCGTCTACAAGCTATCAAGTCATTTCTCAATAACCCCGTTTTGACATAACCAGAATGCAAAACATGTTTCGTTTACCCTAGGATCTAAACAAGCCCATATTGTTTTTTAAGTTTAATAGGTGCATCCCACCCTTGTGAGAGGTGTCCACGTCCCAACTTTTCCCAGCAAAACAACTAATAAATTTAAAATAAGAACTAAAATATTGTGAGCCATCCGATAAAGATGAGACCAGTGGGGGAAAAAGTGGTCAAATTCAACCGTTAGGTGAGAATACTGTTTTTAATTTTGGCTGATTTTGGTGAATCGATCGGGTATTTTAAAATAAATGTAAAAAAATATATGTAAAATAATAAAAAATAAGGGATGCTGTTTGTGATGCATTCTTTTTAATATTTTTTATATTTTAGCGAAGATTAAAAATGTTTTTGGCCATTAATACTTATTTTTACATTTTTTCCATCTATTTTAGAAAAGTTCAAAAATATTCCTAAGCACAAATAGTCTCTTTAAAATCTTTTTTTTCCTCATTAATTATGAACTTCATTTGGACTAGTTTTGTTTAACCATGTTTTAAATATACTTTTCATATTTATTAGATTTTGTTTTGTTTTATTTTTTAAAATTTTTTTTTTTATCGCTCGGGATTTGCCTTGTTAGGCTGGTTGCACTGGCCAATTTATAGCTTAGTACCAAATAACTGCTTCCGGCTCCATGTTTGGTTCACAGTTCCAGTTGGATTTTCTTACACTGGATGAGCCACTTCGAAGTTAATTTGCAAAATCGCGCCTGATGTTATACCAACCATCAAAAAAAAAAAAAGAACGAATGATGACCAACCAGGATCCTCTTTTTAAAACATAAATTTGTATTTTAATGCATAATTCTGTAAAAATCCTCCAAATTTCCTTTATGCAGCTTCTTCCACAAAGAGAAAGTTCTACCGAGCATCAAGATGCAAAAAAATAAAGCATGAAAAACAAATAAAAACTTGCCTTTTGCTGATCTTATACTGAATATCAAGATTCAAAAAAGAAAGCACTAAAATTAAACAAAAACTAGCTATTTTTGTTAATCTTCCACCAAGCATCATGATGCAAAAAAAAAAATACACAAAAATCAAATACAAACTTACCATTTTTGCTGATCTTATCCTGAGCATCAATGCACAAAAATCAAATACAAACTTACAATGCATCAGGCCCTATTCTTTTGCGGCCGGGCCCATTGCCAACCTTACTAAACATCAAAATAAACATTAGAAGGTTCACATTATAGTTCTTATATAATTTGGACTTATCTTGAACACATTGAGGTAATCTCACCATTTCACCAGGGCTAAAGGTTAACTTAGAAGTCCAAATTACAATTAAACTCCCTAAGTTTCATTTCTTTGGACGCCTACGAAAAATACAATAGCTTTCCCTAAGTTTTGCTTACTCGACGTCTTGTTGCAGAGGTGACTAAGAGTCGAGCACCCCAAAGTAGAGAAAGAGGCAAAGAAAGAGAGAGAGGGAGAACAAACAAATAGAAAGATAAATATAAAGGGCTCTTAGGAATAGGTAAAATCTCGAGAGAGAGAGAATGACAGAGATCACACCAAAATATAAAGATGGATGAATTTTTATTGAAAGGGCATCCTTGTGAAGGGAGAATTAAGGTTGTGGATTTAAATCTTTGCAATTTTTCAACTATTTGAGGACGGCTACAAGAATCCTAGTCCTTCATTCTCATCTATCAAAGGCCATACTTTAAGAGGGATCATAAGCCCTTATATCTTTCTGATTCAGCGTGTCGTTTATGGAGAATCCCTTAGCATAAGTAATAATGCAGATTTTCATAAAAAGTTTTCAAGAACTTTTAAATTGTCTATCAAATACAACTCACCTCCTCTACCCGGGCTTGGGATGCAAAGAAAGTCTCAAGGTTCTCACCCTTGTCAACCTGTTGCTCTAAATCTGTGTATATAAAGATTCTTAACCCCATATAGAGAAAGAGAGAGAGAGAGAGAGGGGTTACTCTGAGGGATTCTCCATTGAAGGCCTTGTTGGCGAGCTTACGGTGGCGAACCCATTTCTCTCCATTGGCTGATACAAGGCCATCTCCTAATAACCTTTTCACAATTGAATTCTTCTTTGGTTTTTGGAAATCACCCCTTTTATTGTTGAGAATCTCTCGTATGAGCTCTGGATCGGTGACGATAAGCTGTGGTTTTGGGCCTAACCAGCAAAGTAATACACTCCCTGCGATTATGGAAAGAAACCCAAAATCATCATAAAAAAATTACTAATATCGTGAACTTCCACTTGGGTTCATCCCTCTCTCTCTCTCACGTACCATGGATTTTGATCCAAGAGTAGAAATGGGGCTGAACTCGAGGAAAAATATCATGAGAGAAATCCATGGGTTTTGCAGACGATTCCATTACCATCAGCCCAACTTCTTTATTGTTTCCATGGAGGAATTTGTATGGGGGACCTCTAATCCCCTGTTTCTCCATAAACTTTGTTAATGTAAGAGGAATCCACCATATTTTCACTGCAAATTCCACCAATTTGAACACCAAAAACATAAACAATAATGGGCATAATGCTCTTAAGATTGTAGAGAAGATATTAGATACCATGAAACCTGCACTCATCTTCTTCTCTCACCTTCTCAAGTCTTAGATTAGAGAATTTCTCTTTGTTTAGACCAGCCTAGGGTTCAGAAGAGTATTCACATTTGCCAATGTTTCTTTCTTTTTTCTTTGATGGGACAAGTTCTTTTGACTATTCATGGAAGTGGAAATATGACATGGATTTGGATCAATTATTGTTTCCACATATTTTATAACCCCCATCACTCCCTTGGGTAAAATCTTTGAAGGTCTTTTATGGCAATGGAATATTGAGGGATGCAAGTTCTGAATGTATTTTAGGGCAATGGAATATTGGGGGATGCGAGTTCTGAATGTCTTTTAGGGCAATGGAATACTGGGGGATGCAAGTTCCAGTCAATTCTACGTCGGACTACTTATTCCGACTTATTGACATGCCAAACAGTAGTTTGCCTGTGTGTTCCAAAGAAAAATTAAGTTTGATTGAAATTTGTCAAATTTAATTTTTAACCGTTTTGGTGAGTGACACTAGTTCAATAAAGTTGGGCATTAAAGTATCCTGTGAGTCGGCCAATTCACCTCTTCATGCGGTGTCTCCCTCCAAAAATATATCTCAAGATGTATTTTCTATCCAAAACTTTAGAGTTACATAGTCTCAACCATGACAATGATCTAAATTTTGATTTATTTTAAAATATAAATATTATTTTTTGAATTCTTTATTCTCTCGTCAATTTTAACTTTTAGTGTTTATAAAAAATTTTCACATCCATCTTATGGTGTTTAATAGAAAACGGACAGCATGGTAAAAAGTGAGTCGCCTAACTCACCAAAACCGAGTCCTCTTTGTTATATATTTTATGTTTTCAAATTATTATTCTTATTTTCCTTTTTTTAATTTATGAAAATCGAATTAAATTAGTGCAATTGGCAGTGTTGTATGTTATTTTTGATGTACTTACATCCTTGACGCAAAGAAGAAGAGAGCCAATGAGAACTTAGTCTTGCCGGTACCCAAGACACTGCCAGACCAAATAAACACTGCAAAATAAGCCTAAAACTGGGCACCTCTAAAAAAGTACTAGAATGGCTTCAAAAGGCATGAAAATGGTAGTTTGAGATGTCCGAAGGATGCTCACAAAGTTTTGTCACATTCCGATAAGTTTTGTTATGATCAGGACGAAACTTGGTTTTCAAATCCAGCTCCTATCATATCGAAAATGGACCTTATAACTACATCCTAATTTTTTAAGTTTCAAAACAGTACCAAACCACTACCATTAGATCCAAAACGTCGAAATCCTCTAGGGATCAAATCTGGGCGTAATCGAACCTTCTAGGACCATTTTGAGCCCAATTTCCATAAACGGGTAGGTTTCACACTATTACGGTGCGGCCTCGGTGAACAAGTTACTATTTTTGGAAACTACATTTTCACCCCCCAGGATGATTTTCAAGTGCTCATAGCTCGCTCGTTTGGAATCGGAACAAGCTCAAATTCGGACACATGCTAGGTCACAACAAAACCTGGTCATTTTGACATATGGCACGCATCATGGTATGTCTCGAGACGAGAGTTTCGTAAGTCGGATCTGCACGAAATAAGGCCCGTTACGACCACCTCGCGAAGGGCTACAAGTTTGGTATAGTTTTTACGTTCAGTTAAAAGCCGAATAGTACAAATTTCAAGGTTAAAAATGACAAGAGTTTGGTCACTGGAATCCCGTTTTTGACGACTTCCCAATTTGGGGATATGCTCAAATGGAAACCAAATTGGACAAAATTTAGTACAAACCGATTATGAAAATGTTCCATTTAATTTATGACCCAAATAAGGACTTGGAACTTCATCGATCATGCCGGATCGGTGGTCAAAATTTATGGACTTGGCCGGATTGTTGCCCTTTCATGAAAAATCTGTTGTCAAGACAATCAAATGACATTAAAATGTTCAGAACGGATCAAACATCAAATTTACGATGATGGATCGTCTGAATCACCGCCGTAAGTATCTGAAAAAACTCTCGAAGTCTAGCAATGACAAGAGAACCCTCATAGAGAAATGGTTTTGTTACTTGCTCAAAAGAACTAATGGATATTTTTATAATTTTTTCCAAAAACAGGATTCCACTTTATTTCCATTAAATTGTAATTTTCCACAATTTGACTTAGTTTTGAGCATTTCACTCTTATTTTGTGGTTGCTCTATATAAGTGATCTCAAGTCAATTGTAAGCCTAAGTTGGGAAGCATAATAAAAATTGGGTTCTCGCCCCTTCAAGTCTTTGATTGTTCATAGCTTCTAACTTCAAGAGAGAGGAGAGAGAAAACTTTACCACCTTGGGTAATTACTTTTGGACCTCCAACTCCCTATAAATTCTAACTTTATACACCCTAGAACTCCTAACTTCCAATAGTATTCTATGCACACTACATCATACATCCTAGCCTACACCATAGTCCATACACCCTAGCTTTGACCTAAACCTAGCCCACTTTCTCTCTCCTCTCTCCCTTCTCTCCCTTATTTTTCTCTTTTTTTCTTATCCCCTATCTGCTGACACACACCTCGGGATGTACACATCATCACCCATCTCTCCACTTTATCAAAATCTCAAGCTCGCGTCTAGGAGTGTACACATCATCACTCCTCTCTCCTCTCCGTCGTTATCACAGGTGCAGACCTTCCGTTTTACACCTCTCTCTCTCTCTCTTTGCTTGTCCATTTTTTCTCTCATCTCCCACTTTTCTCTCCACCCGCGCTCATCTCCCTCTTTTTTCTCCACCCGTGCACATCTCCCTCTTTGCTTGTCCATTTTTTCTCTCATCTCCTACTTTTCTCTCCACCCCCGCTCATCTCCCTCTTTTATCTCTACCTGTGCTCATCTCCACCCGCGCTCACCAACTTCTTTTATTGAGGCTATTTTTACCCGTGACTTCGAGCTCACATCCACCTTTTTATTTTCATTTTTACTTATGGCGCCCTTTTAGGGTTTCACCATGCTCGGGTTTCTAATTTAGAATACTTTTACTCATGACTTCGTGGCCACATTTGTCTTTCATTTTTACTCATGGTGCCCTTTCGTGTTTTCACCATGCCCAATTTTCTTTTTGGCACAATTACCCATAACTTTGTTGCTATGTCCATATGAAACTCTCACTTTTACTCATGATGATCCTTATCGGATTCTCATCATGCCCGACTTTCTTTCTTTTTTGATGATTTTACCCACAACATTTATGGTTGTGTCCGTCTTTATAAAAGAGAATGCATCCTCCTTGATGATGAATAGAATGGAGGGGTTATTGCTGTATAAGGCTCACTCAAGGCAACTGATACCATGAGTTAGGCTTTTATTAAGACGGTAAGCACCACTGGAGAAGTTTTGAATTTTGCAAGGTGATGAATGACTCATACTGGCTGGGACACAAGGGTTTAAGTGAACCATGAGATACCTAGTGTATGAAAACCCACAGGGGATAATATATATCTTTAGGGTGAAGAAAATAGGTACCTCCCTAAGGACTGAAAGGCTTCTTTGATGATGAAGGTATACCATGTTTCATACACTGGTCGTAGCATATTTGCACCACAAGGGATGATGGTCCACTAGGGATTATAGATCATTGGGGATTATAAACAACTAGGGGTGATGGACCACTGGG